ATAAGTATTTATTATAATAAATAATAAACTTACGCATGTCCAATACTAGTGCCACACGTGTATCCATATTCTGCCCTTCTTACATATCCAACTAATTGACCATCTCTATATATAGTTTCTAATCCCCATATGGGAATGTCGCTTTAAAAAATGTAAATTATTTAATTTTGTACAAAATTAAAATTTGTATATAAGTCATATGAAAAATTATAGAAAAATATATTTCTACGTACCTCTTAAGACGTAAATGTACTAATTTCTTTTTGATTCCATTTTTACGATATTTATCAATTACTGTTTTCCCTAAATACGTACCATTTTTGCGACAAAGAAATTCTAAACCTGCTTCCAAAGGATTATCGGTTATTCTTATATCTGAACCCCACAGATGATATCCTGTAAAATACAAAATTTAGAGATCTTGTTCATTTCATTCAATTATATATAATCAACAATATTACCTTTTTCACAACTTAAACTATATAATGCCCTATATCCGGCTAATCTCATTTTGTAATTTTGACCAGCTTTAATTACAGCTTCATATATTTTTTTACACGATTGTTTTGGTATATGAAGTTCAAAACCATTTTCACCAACAAAACTAAGCCTGAATAGACGTACTGTTTCATTTTGTATTTGGACTATCTTGCTAGTTGAATATGGAAAGTTTTCATTGGATATTTCATCTTCCATAAGTGTCTGTAGTACTTGCAGGCTACGTTTACATTTTTTGTTTATAATATTTATTATATTTAATATTTTAATGTAAGAGAAATAACTTGATTCATGTAATATTTTACCTTTTAGGTCCTTGTATTGATAGAATGCCTATTTGTTCTGTAGAATCATATAACTTAACATCAAAATTGTTTTTTTTTATAACATTATTAATATGAGCCCATGTTTGATATGCTGATAATCCACTTGAAACTGTCATTAATTAAAACCAATTTATGCTTTATAACTTTATGAATGAAAAAAATATTAAATAATTGAGAATTATCTACCTATGTACAATGCTTTTTCTTTAAATATAGGATCTACGACACCACTTGAGCCAGGTTGTATTGCAGTAACAGTACAGTCTCCTTCTATACCTCCTTTATGATTAAGCATGCAGGTATAAACTATTCTATTAAAATTTTTTCTAGTATTTGATGTAAAAAGATAATCAGCAGCTTTTTGTATATCTGGTCCACAAAGATAGAATTTTCCAAGATAAGACATATTGAAGAGTGCTACATTATTCCTACAAGCCAAAGCTTCTTCCTTTATCTAATAAAAATATTATATATATATATTAATTATACGATTATATAAAAAATAGACATATACATTTCTATAAATGTACAAATATTTACTATATTATGATGTGGAGGAAAGTTAAATGTATGTTCTGTTTCTAAAATTTGTCTGTATTCATTATTCGTTTTATCTATCGCCATATCATATTTACAAGATAAAATAGGTGCTGTTTCATCTTTTAGAAACCATCCTGGTCTTTCCCACCCTTGACGTTCTTCCATAACTGCTCCTTCCATAACGAGTAGCTGAATAATAAAAATATGTATATATTTATTTTTGATTCATAATTTATTTTTTCATTTTTATAAGATAACTTACATCATGAAAAGGATCAGTTTTGAGATTTCTAACACTTAATGGTTCATCATGAGGAAAAGCTACATCATAATTTTTTGCATAAGCTTCATGAGATCTTTCAGTAGCCCAAACTAAATTGTTCATTTGTTCTGGTATAAATCTTTAAAAAAAAATAAGATGTATTGTGAGAAATATTTTGTATATAAAAAAAATGATAGTTTACCTTCGAATATCATATCTAAACATATGTTTATCAGGACGACCATTAATTATCCATGATGCTATCTGTTCTCCACATCCGCCACCAAACATCATTCCTGCACTATTATATCCACAAGAGTGATAAAAACCTGAACATCGTGGGTCTTCACCTTTTAGAAGAACATTTAACTATTAAATAAATAATTATAAATTTTCTTTTGTATTATTCAAGATTTATACCCATAAGAGGTTTATGATCAGGTGTAAAACTTTCTGGACCACAGACCGTTGATTTTATACCAGTACTTGAAAGTTTTGGCATTAATCGTACCATTGACTCCATATGTACATTAAATACATTCCAATCTAACTCATATAAACTAAATGCAAAATCTTTAGGAACCTATATATATATGCATTAAATATATTTTTATATTATTGTACTATGTTTTATACATCTTATAAATATTAAAACTTACTAATGGTAACATGCTAGGATGTTTTTCATAGCCTCCTATACTCATAGTACCACCCTGTACTTTAAAATATAAACTAAGATCCGCATCCCTTACATTTGGTAAATTTTTAACAGCTTCTATTGCTTCAGTAACAACATATGCATGTTTTATCGGTATTAATGGAATATTTAAACCTGCCATTTTAGCTATATCATTTGACCAAGCTCCTGAAGCATTAAGAATAACATTAGTATTAATTTTTCCATGAGGTGTTTCCACAGCAACAACTTTTTTAAAACCATATACATTTTCTTTGGTTAATATTTTAGTTACTGGACAGTTTTCTATTATCTGAAATATTATTATACGTTTATATATACATTATCAATTTTTATTTTCATTGTTAACTAATAAAATTTAGAAGTACGAAATGATTACCTTGGAGCCATAATTTTTTGCTACTTTTGACAAAGAATTAATTAACATAGCAGGATCTACCGTTCCATCTTTTCCACAGTAAACTGCACCTTGAAAAATGTTTTCATCTAAAAGCGGAAATATTGCTTTTGCTTCATCGGGAGAAATTATATTTGCATCAATGCCAAATGCTTTACAAGTAGTAACCAAGCGTTTATATTCCACCATTCTCTCCTGTATAATAATTCTAATTCTTAGAAACATTAATTAACATAAAAATACTAATTTCAAAGAATCTAATTTCTTGAAATATAATATCTATTAAAATATTCACACTTACATCAGTATGAGCGATATAAAGGCCACCATTATTTATCCATCCTGGATTAATGCCACTTTCTTCTTCTAAAGATGATAGTACACTAATAGAAGTATTAAGCAATTCCATTTCAACATCGTCAACACCACGTAGATTCCACACTAAACCTGCAGTATGCCATGTTGTACCAGAAGTTAATTTCGATTTTTCTAAAAGTATTGCACTAATTCCACGTTTTGCCAAATGATAAAGAGCATGGCAACCTGCACTACCACCACCTGAAAAAATATTAAATTTGATTATTTCTTTAGTTATGGAAATATTATTCAACTATGTTTTTAATTAATCTTTTTTTTACCAATTATTATAACATCTGCAAATTCTGGTAATTGAACTTCTGATTGCTTATTAGATAAATTTGTAGACATGTATTTACTTTGTTTAATTGACCACTTTAAGAACTGAAAACATATATATTTATTTATAATATATTAACCAAAATCAAATAAAAATTATTTTGAGTATTTGGTACCTTATTTTTTACAAAACGGAGCATTGTTTTTCGTTGATACCCTTGATGCTTACCACATGAGAATGTAAACACAATTTGCAACTGATTGATCTTGCCAACAATATTATGAAGACCTTTGCTCTTGAGTTATTCTTAATTTCAATCGATTCAGATATAAAATATCAATTTTTATCAAAGTGCTCCCCTTACTGTATAAATTTATCATTTTAGTTGATAACATAATAGTATAAAGAATCGAATATAGGATTATTCACAAAAAATTATATGTACAAAAATAAATATTAATTTTTTGGGTAAATATATCAGCAATAATAATAATTTGATACATTTTGTAATTGTATGATTATAATCAGTAATAAATAAATACAAATATATAATTGTTAAACTTTTTTCATATCATATCACATGCTCAAAAATAGAACTACAGTGCATTATATTCTTATGTAATAATTTGCTTTAGATTTTAACATTTTAATGTTTATAAATTTAACATATACATTCATAATAAATTATTTTTAAAAATTATAAAAATGTAAATTCAATATTAAATAAAAATTGCTACACTTTACACAAACCTGTATAAGGTTCTTCATATCAATTATCATATTTAGTAATTATGACATAGCTTTTACCATGAGTATCATATTATCAAGTAAAAAAGAAACTACAAAAAAGATAACACTATCAGTTTCTTTTCATTTTTAGGAAAACAATTATGTTATCTTTTTGAAATAGTTCATTTAAAAGATTTATACATGTTACGTTATATATTATTTATCTTTGGTTATTAAAATAATAAATAAAGTTATTAATGTAATAACATATTTTGTTATAAATTTAATAATCAAATATTTTATTAGTTTAATTTTTATTTATTAGGATTATATATTATATCCATATGCTTAAGATTGTTCTTAGCACAAATTTATTTATATCTTAATAACAAAATTTCTTAGCAATCATGCATTCAAGTTTTTTTTCACAATGGTCATTATGATTTAACATACACACTTTTAATTACAAAAAAAAAAATGAACATACAACAATATTATCTACATATGAGAGTATTTTTAACATTAGTTAAAGTTGATGACTGTATTATTGTAATATCTAAATACATTTAACAATGTCATCATCAACTTCCAAGGAATTAATAGCATTAAATGCTTGAATTGATTATATGTTTTATATAGTATATATGGTGTCTTGAATTTTTGCAATGTGCACTTTCATGATTACTAAGTAGTGTAACTCTTAATATAAAAGCTTTTTATGATTTTTGTCATTTATATGGCCGTAATACAAAAAATAAATATTTTGTCATGAAAGTTGGTGGGATACTTTGAAGAGTACCATAAAAACTCGTTGGAAACATAACTATTAATAATAGCTATTTTAAAGTGAAGTGTGTTCTTCACTGGCGAGACTGTCAGTGTCTTCTGTATCTGAGTTTGTAGCTGCTTGTACTCTAGCATACTCATCTGTATCGATACTTTTACAAAAATGAATAGCATATTTTAATTTTTGTCGTAATACTGGTTTGCACGAATACCTTGGCATTTTTAGCAGGAAGAAACATGTGTAGCTTTCAGGAAGAAAGTGATCTGGTGGATGATACCTATCCATGACCTAAATACCAATCAGTTATGATTTATATTCATTCATTTTATTAAATTATTCAATGTGAAATAAAAAAATATAACTCACTTGTAAAACAAAGTCTCTGCCTCTAAAATCTGGAATAGTTCGTGGTAAACGAGTTCTACCCCAGACAAAGCGTAAGAAAAGAGATCTTTCTTGGTTGGAAAATTCTTCCATAACTTCCCAGAACCATTGAATAAGAGGTGCTGTAGCTTCTATGCCTATATATTAATATTTCATATTTTTATATTTTATTATAATGCAAGATATAATTATTAATATATTAACATTTTGATAATAAGAATAATTATACATGCCTTTATAAGTTGCAACAGATTTTAGTAAACTAAGTGGTATGTCTGGACTACCACACACCATGGTTTCTAATTCAGCTCCACTAAATAAGGTCAGTAGAGGAACAGGTACGACTTTTGATAGACCTTCACGTACTGCAGCAACTTGTTGGTCAAATTCATGCAGTCTATAATTGAGTGCCAATCTAACGTATTCATGTCGATTTTCTGGTGTTATCTTAAGGTATCTGAAAGAAATAATTGATACTATATAAAGAAGTATAATTCATTTTATAATTATAAATGCAAAGTTGTTTTACCTATTTGATAACGGTATATCATGACCAACAGCAGATGGTGTTGAGAATGGCATTTCTAAAGTTTGAAAGACTTTTTCATCGGGATCCATATCCCGTATACACAACAATCCAGGAACATAATCTCTATCAACTTCTGTTAAATCTGCTGGTGTTAGTGACGCTCCGGTAAGTTGCTTCCAAACAGGTTCAGCCAAATTTAAACTCAATGGACTACCTGTTCTTATTGCTATACCCATTAAAATACCTAAGAATTGAAACATGCTCATATGCAACGTCGAATTAGCAGTCGGATTCAACAGAAAACAGTCTCTATTTGTGCCACTGTCGCCTCGACCATTAGGCGTAGGTATAAATAATGGCAATGAACCATTCTGTAGTTCGTCACACATTTCGGCAATACTTTCGCTATATCCTCCACCGCAATCATCAACACTTTCTCCTATTAATGATAAGATTAACATCAATACAAATCATTTTATGCATACTAAACCATTAGAAATAATCATTGTTGTATTACATACCAACAAATTTGACTTTCCATACTCTGTGTGGTAAAAAGAGTACATCTTGTGTTAGTAAAGTCATTTTAGAAACCATTTGTCCAAAGACAGATTTAATACCATCTTGACCAGCCAAGCCTCCCTTACTTCGTGCCCTTTTTACTTGTATTCTGTTTAATTCTATTACTGGTCCATGTTGTCGATCCCTTACCATAGTAGCCTGGACTACTTTACGAAACGTTGCTTCCTTAATACTATATACTAACATTGGAGCTAATTTGTCTAAACCAATGTGGCCAGTAGTAGGGAACATTGCTAAAGATGGGCACAATAATTCTGCGAAATGATGCAGCAGTACTAATCTATTATGTAGAACGGAAAATTGAAAATCTTTCACTAAATCATATTCCATAGGTGTAGAGGCTGGTAATCTGCTCTGCGTAGCCTTCGTTGTACTCCATGCAAGAGTGTGAGCACTTCCACATGCAACTCGCGTTATTTTTTTACCCTGTAATGCATGAACTAGTCGTGGTCTTTGAAGAGCACTCGTTGTTCCATCACCAAGTTGACCTTCATCATTGTCACCCCAAGTAAAAACTTCGCCTTTGTCAGAACACGCAACACAGTGTAAGGAACCAGTAGCTATAGAAATGATTTTCTTTCCTTGAAGTGCAGCTACTTTTCGGGGCCTTCGTACATGATCATCTGTACCATGACCTAATCTATGATAATCTCCTTTACCCCTATAAAAGAACAAGCAACCCTATTACCTTTTTCTTTATAAGAATTCTATTTTTCTACCTACCATGTATACACTGCACCTGATCTGGTTAATGCTACTGAAAATTGGCTACCACATTCAACTTTGATCACTCCAAGTCCGGCCAATGAGTCTATTTTCATTGGAACTTTACAGCCGTCGCTTCCACCTCTACCTAATTTTCCATAATCTCCATCACCCCAGCTCCAAACATTATCATCGTCTGTAACACAAAGCGTTTGTGCATCTCCACTTCCACATGCCATGTCTATTACTTTATAATCTTGCAAAGCTTCGACGACTTTGGGAACCAATTGATCATCGCTATCACCATGGCCTAAACGTCCGTATCGTCCTATAAATGTTATATTCATAAATAAGAAGTTATTTTATTAATAGTTTTTTCATTTCTATAATAAATACAATTTTACCTTTCCCCCAAGTGTATAACCAACCAGCGCTCGTAATAGCAGCACTATGGTGACCACCACACGCTATATCTATAATTTCCATTCCAAGAAGCTCTTCGATCAATTTTGGTCGATCATACGTTAATCTATTACCATGACCCAATTTACCATCATCACCTTCTCCCCAGGAGTATACATGGCCTTCAGAACTTAATGCAAGGCAATGTTTTCCACCAGAATTGATTGCCACTTTTTTAATAAATATGTGTTGAATTGATTCCAGAAGTGTTGGAATAAGGACTGAATCTGTTCCTCCTACACCAAGACGTCCTACTGCACCATAGCCTAAAGTCAAACATTTTAATTAATTAATATATTGTGTAATATTATAAAATGATAATTATAGTAACATACATAATTTTGTATACTTACCAGTAGCATAAACTTTACCATCAGCAGTAACAGCAAATAGTGTTTGTTCACCTCCAGCCAGTTGTACAGGTCTTAATGCAGAAAGACTTTCACAAGGTGTAGGCAATTTTATTTTGGCACCTTCTAAGCCACCTAATTGGCCTCTATGATTATGACCCCAACCATAAATTGCTCCAGAGCCATCCCATGATAACGTCCAATCTTCAGGTCTGCGATTTAACCATTGTAATAATTGCTCGTCATGCTCTTGCTTAAAAAGTTCGTGATTTTCGTGATCTTTAGAACACGTATCTCCCTCTGTAGCCATCTCATTAATTCGCTTAGTAACTTCAATGCAAAATGCTTTTGGCAATGGAGTACGATGTATTAAAGATTTGGCGACTCTAGCAGCAAGACAATATCTTCGAAACCATGACCACTTATGAATCTCAGAACAACATTGCATGCCATCCAATTCTAAATCACAAGCAAGCGCAATAAGAACTTTGAAAAAGTCGCTATGCATCAATTGCTTTCCACCTCTAACAGCAGGATCTTCATATGTATATTGTCTCAACAATGCTTGAGGTAAAGAATCTAATAATGATGATAATGCAACCTCTGGTCGTATACCGGGTCCACTAAGATAAACAACTTGTAATTTTTTCAGAGCCCACATTCTTTGTTGTGCAGTTAAGATACTGAGCTGACTGCATTGCGCTAAAGTTGCTGCTAATCTTGTAACAATGTTTTTATCAAAACTAATTAAATTATTATCCAGAAGACATTCAGCTAATGCAATCGATGGTTGTGATAAAACTGCTCTGTCAGAACCTAATTCATGTGCCGCTAATGTAGCGACAACAGGATGTACTGTAAATCTCCAACCCC